TAAATATTTATTTAACTTAGCATTGATTTAAAAAAAAACTCTAAAATCTAATTGAAAACATCCTTAAAATCAAAAGTTTTTTATCACCTTGAAGCGCAAGTGCAAATGCATTCGTGCACATTTTGCACGAAAGCCAGAAGCATTATTTTCACTTGAGTTTCATAGAAGCCAGTTATGGGAGTGTTTATGATTTCTTGTATTTCAAAAAAGTGGTTTTTAAAGTGATTTTAAATAAAATGTTTAATACTACATGTTAGTAGTATTTGAGAAAGAATACTTTTCAAAAGGAAAAATTGATAGTGTTTGGTAAGTTTTTTAGGTAATACAAAAAATGAAAAGCGGTTTAAAACACTTCTCCACTCTTTTAGCTTTTAAGTGCTTAATTTAAACATAAGTTATCACTTGGAAATACTCATTTCTGCTTTTTTAAAACCAAAAACAAAAAACATTTCATTTGCAAACTTTCCTAAGAGCCATTTGGTAACACTAGAATTGGTTGAGTTGACTGATTCTGGTGATTTATGAAAGAAAAAATATATATATTCTGTTAATAAAATGTAGGAAAAATTATATGAAAAATAGCTAAAATGATCCTCTACAGTAATTTCAGCCAAATCACTGAGAAAAATAATTACAACCTTGCTTATTTTTATTATTGCACAATTTAACGCGCGAAATCAAAGTTTACGTTCTTGATGAAAAGTAGACCGATAGAATCGATAATCAAATACTCCCTACATCCCTAATAAATTTGCCAAGTTTGACCGGCATGGAGATTAATAAAGTAAAAACTGCGTGGTTGAGATTTGTGTAGAGGAGAGAGAATTCACTGAAACCACAAATTCTTTACTTAAAAGGGAAAGTGTCAAAGTTAATGGGACATCCAAAAAAGGAAAGTTGGCAATGTTATAAGGGACGGGGGAGTATTATTTCTCAAGGGTAATACACAAACATACACTTTTATCAATCGGTTATCAACTTTAACGTTCACAATGACGCCCTTTTTTTAACCGTGGGGAATGCTAATCTATTTATCAAAGGTTAAGTATTTTTAATCTCTGTAAATATAGCGCACTTTCTTTCGGGACCCGTTAAAATATATTTTTTGCTTTTCAATCTTTATAATATGCACTATTTTGATTTTAGTACTTGTTGTTTTTAGCAAGAAGTTGTTAAGAAATTGATGTAACGTACCTAAAAATACAGCAGCGGAAGTTTAAAATTTTTCCAAACAGATCTTCCATGATTATGACAAAACAACGAATATAACAATAATAATAGTTCTGAGTTAGAACTTACAGATCTTCCAGTCTAGCTGTGATAATCCTTTACCTTATGTATCCACGTGATTTCTCCTTTCCGAAAAAATGGTTAGATCTCCCATAGAGAAATGCTAGGAAATCTCTTCGTAGGAAAATATACTGATAATACTGAATCTAAAAAATGGTCTACAAATTACGAAGGAGAAAGATGCATTTATACGGGTTCTAAACTAGTTTCCCAATCACAATGAAAGTCTTTCTAGGACCAATATCATTTATTAATTAAACAAAGATATACTCCATAATTAATAATAATAAAAGCTATGTACATACTAAAGAGGAATGGGGGGATCCGCCACCTCAATCTCTTTATGTACATTTGTTATTATTATTATTTTATTTGTATTTTCTTGAACTCATTTTAATTCTAAATTTCACTCAAGATGAAAATATCAACTTTATTTAATTATAAATAGATTTTAATTAAGTATAATAAATCTCATTTATCGGACTTAATTAATTCTATCAAATAGAACTCTCCTTCAACATGACGAATTAAATATATTAATCTAATTGATAATTAACTCATTTTCAGTATTACGAATTAAATATTATTTAATTCAATCAATAATAGTTAATTCCTTCTAACAATTCAATCGGAAGGTATAATCACTTGTTGTGTGACTCATAGAATCTTATATATTAAGCACTAATCAAATTAAGGTCTTAATAGAATCTTTAGACGATTTACCAGACAAACTTTATATATAAGGACATTTGCGAGAACTATTCAAACTCCCTGTAATGTAGAGCTCATAGTGATACGGTCCTTTCATTCAACGAACATTCAACTAAGTCTAGAACTTGATATTGTGTCTATTCCAATAACTTAGTCTCTATCTCTCAACCTTTCTAGATGATCCGTAAGGATCATATTCGATATCTAAAACGAATATATATATTTGCATTGCCCAATGACTTTATGATCCATCTAGATATGAGAAGTAGAATGTTCTCTTTTATTCTATTATGAGGAATGAAACCTTTCTTGGCTCAACTACTACTCCATGTGCTTCATTATGTACCCAACACATGTTGTGTCTACCCTTATAAGAGTGCAAACGTTGGTCATGGTCAAAGTACATCACTCCGCATATGTAGTACGTATTGAACTCAAGTCGGAAGACTATTACACTACTCTATACGCTTACAATCCCATAGACACATGAATAGAACTTATCAAATGGTTTCTCGGTGAGTATGTCAATATTCTCTAAAATATCTACCTGACCATCATGAATTACAGGAACTCATAGTTGTGAGATCAAGTATACGTTCTAAAAGTATGATGCAGTACACATAATAGGGGTGCAAATGAGCCGAGTACGAGTTTATGTAGGCTCGAGCTCGAGCTCGAAATATATTGTATTGGCTCGAGCTCGAGCTCGGCTCGAACGAGCTTAAAAAATCCCGGCTCGAGCACGACTCGCAAATATTGACATGGCTCGATTCGGCTCGACTCGGCTCGATAATTTTGGTTCGTCAACTCAAATGTTACAAGTTCGATTAGCTCGAAAGTTCGGGTTCGAACTCAAGCTAAAATATGAAACAATCTTTGAATATTTGTGCTTAGTATTTGCAAATTGAAATTTACATGCCCAACAACTAAAAGTAGAGTAATGTTGTCCAAAATAAATAAAAAATGATCAAACCATAATGATTTAATTGAAACTAGAGTTACGGGAACGGAAAATATAATATCTCCCCGATCCTCATATACATTTATCAATCGGTAAAATATATATTAATTTATATTATATATACTAATATATATTATACATTAATTTATATTAATATTATATATATATATATATATATATATATATATATATATTCAATATATAAATATACACACACATAAAACTAGGTTCGCGAGCTAGCGAGCCTAAAATAAGTAGGCTCGTTTATGGCTCGACTGCTTAACGAGCCGGCTCGAGCTCGGCTTGAGCTCGAGTTTGACCGAACTCGAGTCGAGCTTTGACCGAGCAGCTCGGCTTATTTGCACCCCTACCACATACTAATCTTATCACATATCATCAATATCTCATTCTTGATGATCATTGATTGAGGCTATTTTAGGACCTTATGTTATACTGCGTATCATATAAGCTCCCACTTATTTATTGACAACATATGTCCAAGGGAATACAATTATAAATAAGATATTGATAACCGAAACACTTAATCATCAATGTGTGATAGCGTATATATCAAATATATAAAACTGGATGTGATCAAGTACATATATCTCTAAAAAGTGATTGTCGCTAGGACATATATACTAACAGAAGTTACGACGAATTACAGAAACCCTAATAAAAAGAGGAGCAAAATGTAGTTTAGATAGCAGAGAGCGGAAATTGGTTTTGCTACAAATGCAACACGTCTCTATTCGGGAAGTTGCAGAGAAAGAAAATTGAAAATATACAAGAAAGTGATTTGGTAAAAAGAAAGAATTATATTTATTTGTCATGTAAGGGTTATCTACGTTAGTACTAATAAAGTAGAGTATCTCTCAATTTAAATTAATTGTTACTTAATTTGCTATTAAGTCCAATAATCATTTAAAATGGACATTTTCAGATTCATGCAACTTCTGATTTCAATTTTAATTTATCCAATCATTAAAATGTCAATTTTTTAGTAGATTGGTGTTATATATATACTCTAGTTTGTTAGTACTAATAAAGTAGATTAGTGTTTTATTAAGCTAATTACAAAGTTAGAACTTGTGAGTAAAATTTGAAAATATCAATTTTAACGATTGTATTCAATAGTAATTTAAGTACATATCAATTTCAATTTAGATATACTCTACTTTATTAGTACTAAAATCGATGTGTAAAATCAAAACAAGGCACATAAAATTAGAGAAAAAATCTCTTTTTAGGTAAACTGGTATGTAACACATGCGATGCACAGGGAAAAACTTTCTTGTAGTTTATTTATGATTTTTGTAATGTTAATGAATGATAGATCAACATTAATGAAAAGTGTAATACATGTATGATATTTTACGAAACGACATTGTAATTGGTATAACAAATACGATAGTACAAAATAAAAAGATAACATCATAGAAGGTAAAATTAAAAGTTTTGAAAAACTTTGGGATGCACCACATTTATTGTGGAACTACTTTGGATGACGTCGTTGTTGCATATCAAAGAATGTATATAGACAATGATATTATAGTATGCGATAAAGTATATAAAAAACATGATTTCATATAAAATGATATATCTAAAGAAGAATAAAATATTAAAATTAACACATTTTGGTGTACTTACTGCATATATAAACCTACCTGTATCTTGTCTTGGTCATAACATACATTAGGGAATCAAATTGAGATCGATCGGTGATATATATTAAATGCATGGCGGCAGAGGGGACATATGTGCAGCTCAACAAGGAACAAGATGTCGTCGATAACATCACCCCCGGCGAGCTTAACCAACCCATTGATATTGACAAGGTACGTATTTTATTGCATGTTCATTCCCATATTACCTTTATGATTCCCTTCAGATTTGATCGTCTTTACCATTTCTGTTTTTGTTTTGCAATGTTTTTTATTTTTTAAATATATGTTTTTTCTCATCAATATTTGTAATTTTACAGCTGACTTGTCGGAGATGCCCTGAATGTGGGCAACCCTTGCCCAAAAGCCACCAACCCCCTGCTGATGAAGAGTGGACCACAGGGATTTTTGGTTGCACAGAAGACATTGATAGTTGTGAGTGTTGTGCCCACTACTTTATATATCAAAAAAATGCTTCTTTGTGTCATCACATTTAAATAGCATGTTCTTCAGCGCAGACAATATTATCCACCCGGCCTTCAACTTGTTTTATCAATTTGTAGGCTTGATTGGATTGTTTTGTCCATGTGTATTGTTCGGGCGAAATGTCGAGAGCTTGAACGAAGAAATATCCCAAGCAGGAGCATGTGGTGGCCATATCATTTGTGTTGAAGGGGGCATCATGCTGGCTGTTGCAACAGCAGCAATGCATGGCATTGATCCTGATACCATGTGTCTCATTACTGAGGGTCTACTCTTTACATGGTGGGTCTGTGGCATCTATACCGGCATGGCCAGGCAAGCATTGCAGAGAAAGTACCATTTGAAGGTGATCCAACTTTTTATTAATGAAATAATGAACTACACATCCATAACCTTGATTCAATCTTGAAGTGTTTAATATAATTCTTTCTTCCTCAAATTAAGTATAACTGTATATATGTATTATTACAAACACTTTTCTCAGCTGATTTGTGAGCTATGTCTTGCCATGGTTTCTCCTAGGATGCACCGTGTGATCCATGCTTGGTGCATTGCTGCTTACATTGGTGTGCCGTCTGCCAGGAGTATAGAGAGATGAGGAATCACTTGGCTGAAAACGCTTCATCTGTAACGATTGTAGAGCCACCACCAGTACAACGGATGAACACTGACATGAAACAAGAAGCACAAGTTTCATCTGGCAAAGAAATCGTTCCACTGAGTTGCATTGTGGAGATGCAGCCACCATCATCGTAGATTCATATATATAGAAATTCATTCCTTCTTGAGTTTCTTAACGTCAAAGTGGAAGCTTTGTCTTCTTCTCGATTACTGGAAATTAGAGAGAACTTGTAATCCTACTTGGCTTTGTTCATGGAACTTTTTCTGCCATGTATGTAATTGGAATATTTCTATCTAATGCTAACTAGTTAGCATTACTAGGCCCCAGGTACATACGCACTTCTTTGATTCAGTGTTCCATTTTTTGTCAAAACCTAACCATTTTTTGTGGCAATGAGGCGGGAGTTCACTCCCTCATCTCCACCTCTTGTCTACAAATTCCGCCACCCCTACTCCATTCCCACTAGACCCGTGGGTACCCAACTAGGAGAAATATTCATCAAAACAAAATTAAATAAACAGTCTTCTTAAAGAAGAATAAATAAATACCTACGGAGTAGTAAATTTGTAACTCAACTAGCATATAATTACTTGTTACTTGCCAATAAAACAAAAAATTGTTTCAACCGTTTTGTACACTATAATTCTTTAGCATTAGCGCATAGACAAAACAAGAGATAAAACAAAGTTACATGGCTTCAAAAAATTGAATATATATATAGCCTTTGTAGACAAAGAGGGGTTAAATGAGAATACACTGGATGCTAGGGACTAGGATTAAGTATTTAAAGTTTTACACTTTACTCTTTGACATGTTCATGCTCATAAAGGTAGGGATGGACTGGGACAGGTCGGCCCGACCCGATACTGTTTAGGCCCAGACAGCCCACTACTATAAGGGCAGGCTTCGGGCTCATTTTTTTGGGTCTGCCAAGCCTAATTGCACAATTTTTTAATTTAATGCTTTGTCCCATCCCAAAGCCCAACCTGACCCGGTACTATATAGACCCAACCCAATCCAGTACTGTTTAGGCCCGGCCCGAACTGATCCCGGTAAAAACCCAGGCTAGTACCAACCACCGAGCCTAAAATTCTTAAGCCCGAACCCGCTCAATTTTTTCCCGAAGCCTGGCCCGACCCGGTCCCAGTCCACGTGGAGGTGAGTTACTATTATTTTCATTACCATTATTGATTCACTATTCACAATTATTATTTGGATTATTATTAATAATAATTATTATGTGTGTGTGTGTATGCTGGGGGGCAGAGCCATCACTCATTCATCCGTCCCAAATTTAAGGGGGAGAGATAAACTGACCTCTAACCATACCCATCAAGTACAAAATCTCCAAATGAAAAAAATGTGGAATTGATATGAGATGAAATGATAAACGAGCCATAAAAGTAACGATAATTTATTGCGCACCAATTATTAACACATGTTGACCGGACATGTCATCTGGAATTATTGTCATCTGGAATTAATTTGAGATGAATTCGTAAATGGGTTGGAGTCCATTTTGAAAATGAACATGTGTACCTAAAAGTTGACCGGACAGGCCGTATAAAAGGAGGGCATTCACAAGTTAATACAATTCACTTTAACATGCATTCCAATATGCATTTCATATCAGATGATCCCTCATGTGTTAGATGTGTTGTAATATGCAAGTGTTAGGATAGAGACTCAATTGGTTTCTTCCCAGCGATTTCCGAGTACCAAGACTTCCATGCTTCCTTGTAATGTGAAAAGAGATCTCTTAATGCTGAAAACCCCCAGAAGAGAAAGTCAGGTTCATTAGCAAGGATTTGAAATCAGATAAAAATGATATCCGGAAGTATTTTATGGATCTCATGTTGCACAAACACAGAAAGACAAAAATATGTATGCATGGAAACACAACCTTTAACAGAAAATTTGCTGTAAAAAAATCCATTTTTTCAGTTTATAAGCACAAAAACACAATTTTCTAAGAGTTTCTCTGTATCTTAGAAAAAACACTTCGCTATTACTTTCCCCTTAACGCTGTTGGTGCAGTCTTTAAATATAATGCAGTTTTCAAGAAGATTTTTTCTCTCAAGTGTGTATATGTATACATGTGTAACTACCAACAAATAAAAAGTTTAAAGGTCGAAATCAGCATTGACCCTGTAACAAGAATAAATGGAGACTAATATTTTTAGTTCAACCTTGCAAATCAGCATCAACCTAGTAAAACAATAAGAGAGAGAGAAGATTTAAAATGACTTGACAAAAGTTTGAAGCGATCAACCAATACCTTGGTTGTGATACTGAGGATGAGAGGTTGATGCTGCTAAGCTTTCCCATTCGCAAATAATCTCTTTTCTCCCACTACTCATTGAAGATTCAACTTTAGGCACATCTACAGGTGCGAACGGGCCAAATTCATAACCCTTGCCTTTTGTTCTTAAGTCAAGCTCCTCTTTTGGCCTGTTAACCTCATTTTCAAGACTCTCACATTTCACTAGTACAGATAGTAGTTTGGATTTTGTTGACTCACTGGAGTAGCGATCCATAGATTTGCCAGTAGCTTTGCCTCTCTTTGTAGTTGTATTTGTGAGGTCAGTGCCAAATGGCCTCTTCTTGAATTGATTCAAACCCAAGCTACTCTCTGATGTATTAGCTGCTTGGTTTTCTGATTTTCCTTTCAGCCCCAACCATTTGAATGCCGGTTTTCTTGTTTCAGGGTGATGTATCTGCGCTAACATTCCATATTAAAACCAGTAGTGCAAATATCAAAACTTCAAGGCTTTGCAAATCTATCTATAGTTATATATATCCGAGTATCCGACGCACTGTCTGCGTAGACTTAGCTGATGAATTTTGTGATGTGTGTATCATATATAGGCTGATTACGGGTGGGAAAAAATACCAAAAAATTGGTATATCGCACTTACCATATCGAAATATACCAAATTTACCGAAGTGTTTGGTATATCGACACTTTCGGTACGGTGTGGTACCGTACCAAATTACTTCAGTATGGTATCAGTATATTTTGAAAATAAACATTATACTGGTATACCATCATACCGAATATGATGGAATAAAGCAAAATGGCTGACTAAACTGTCTGCGCTTCTTTGTTATGAAGAAGCAGTCAGTCCATGCAATTTTGGACGCGATTTTTCTCTGGGTCATCCGGAAACAGTCTCTCTGTGTGCTTTAGGACAGGAGTAAGACTGCGTACATCCGACCCCCCTACCCCACTGTAGGTGGGAGCCTTTGCGGCACTGGGGTAAATGATGATGATGACCGTCATACCGAAAGTTCAAGCCAATAATTTCTTAAAAATTATCAAAGTGAGTAGAATCACAACATTAACTCAAGGATAAATGACTTTATATATCCATGATTCCTGAATTATTTATACTTTCTGTCAGAGATCAGTGTTATTTCATTTATATCTATGTTGTTTAAATTATTTTTGGAGAATGTATGTATTGTTATTTCATTAGTATTTTATAATTGACTTCATCATGATTTTAGTATATCACTACTGACACTGATTTTCTATATTTCATTTGACATATAATTATTTGTTATATTAAATAATGATAATTTACCGATATTGTACCTTTACAGTACCGAAATTTCAATATACCGAAATTTTGATAAGATAATGATATGTATTTTTGCATACTGAAAATTTAAGATACGATAAAGGTATGAGATAAAATATCTGATATAACGTACTGAACCACCCCTAAGGTTAATATAGGCTTAAATATGTTTTTGGGCCTTACAAATATAGCATTTTTGACTTTTAATTCTAGATCGGTGTAAATTAATTTTTTTAATTTTTGTGTCCCTCTAACTTTGAGCAATCTCCATTTAGAAAAAAAAATATGTGGCATGCATAACCCCCCTCTTTAAACTTTCCATCTAAATTTTTATCTATTTGGAGGCTATTAGTAGGGTTAAAGCTAAAATATACTCCTACTTATTCATGTTTGCAATATAAGTCTCTATAAGCTCTAGGCAAATAAAGTGTATAGTAATTTCTTACAAGGAAATCACTTGAAAACGTAAGAATAGAATCAATCACGTTGGTCATGTCAGTTTTGTTGTTGCTAAACGGAGGTTGATAGAGGATTGAAAAGGGAATAAAAACATTATAGTGTTTTATTCCAGGGACCTTAAACAATGAATACTATACTTAACAAGAACAAAAGGAATATTCAAACCTCAGTGATAAGTGCAGTTTTATTACCTTCTCAATGAATTTTATCGAGGACAAGACATTAGCAATATCATACAGTCTTCTAACTTTAGCTGTCAAAGTGTACCCAAAAAATACGTGAGTTTGTTAACATAGATGCAAAATGAAGCCTCTGAAATCCAGATTAAAGTTCAAGTCCATTACTTCTGTTTATTGATGGAGGTCTCCCATCTCCCAGTAAAATATTTGCAGCTTCATCCAAGCAAATCATATCTATCTGTTGAAAGTTGAAACAGCAATCATAGCGTAAGATTTAAGAACTTCCTAAAGCCACAAGTTCCTTGAGATGATAAGATATACGAGAGCTTTAAAATTAAAGAGTACATGTCAACTTACATCACTGCATAGGAAGAGCTTGATAAAGTTTCGTGTGAGAAGCCCCAGAGATTTCTCTCTTTTATTGTCTGAAATGAGTGAAAGGCAATTCTTGCTTGGCTCAATGAATTTGGTAAAGGAAAAAAAGATCACTTCATAATAAAGTATTGCAGCGGAAATACCTGGTTTAGAGGAGTCTACCAAATTAGGAGATGCAACGGGGACTGATTTGTCACTCGGGCTTGAAAGGACAGGATTTGAGAGTCTGTCATCTTCCCCATCATCCAAACACTAGAATGTAGAAGTCAACATATGCTTTAGTGCGAAATAACAAAAGAAGTAAAATACATTATGTCCTTATCTGCATAAAATCATAAATATATTCAAAACTTTACATTCAGAATTCAAATTAAAGATCATACTTGGATAGACAAATTTCCACCATATCCACCAATCATATCCTTTAGACCTTCCTCCTGTGCCATTACATGTCATGTTTAAGTGAAAAACGTTAAAAATAGGGAGCTGGGGTTGATGTAGCAAATAAGCTATAGCAAGAAAGATAATACATGGCTTCCTACCTTTAGTTTTTGAAAAGTTCCAGGGATTGCTTCGAATCCATTCCACGAATACATATTCTTTGCCTTTCTTGAAAGAACCTGAACAATCAACAATAAGCACAAAGAAGAGGTTGAAGCAACTTTCAGTAATATAACCCACATAAAGCTGATCCAATATGATATTAAGGCCAAGTTGGAATGTCTTACACCAACGCTTTCAAGAACATTCACAATGTCATAGATCCTCCGTCTTTCAACCCCTAGCATCACAACGAAAGATGCCTTTACTTAAAAGATACACTTCATCACCACGGACAAAAATCGTGCATTCATCACAAAGTTCTGTCGAGGGATTATTGAATCAATACCTAACTGTTTTGCTGCATCATCGAGTCCAATAGTTTCGACTCCTTCACGGTCATACAAGCTCAAAAAACTGCATAAACATGCCACGACAGTAACAACCATCGAATTTTAGGATCCACCCACAGTACTTAGCTGGGGATATAGGCATATTCGGGTGCTTAACCACAAAAGAAAGTAGAGTAATTAAGTGATAGAGAAAAAAGACCGTACTTTGAACATAGGAGGCTAAGTGACTTCTGTTTCCGGCAATAAACGGATCGAGAATCTTCGGAAACAGAAAGAGCTAAAGCCATCAGTCGCTGCCGATCTAACCCCTCTCGCCGCGAAATCCGCTTCTATGTGTGTAAACCAGTATCTATAGTTACAGATCTTGGATATTTGGGGCTTTTGAGAAAGGGTTGTTGGCGGTGGCGGAGTTAAAAGAGAGGGGTTTTGAAAGTTTGAAATGATGCCATTTGTTCGTTGGCCGCTGGAGCGGGAGTTTCTTTCCCTGAATTTTCCGTTTCTTACCTGAGAGAACGCGGCGCCTGTTTTGCTTTTCCCCCGCTTGGCCTCTTTTTACTCATAACTTTTAGAGAGAATTGTGGAGTGAAATTGCAAAAACAGTACTATGTTTTATTGGTCAAAATGGGACTAAAAAAAGATGATCTTACTAAACCGTCCCCAATTAAAAAACATGACACCGGCGACGCATAACAGTCTCCCATGTCCGCATGTCATCTTTGCTTCCCTCTGATCCTCTCCACTGCTCAGTCGACATATCTCCAGGTTAGTATTTCTTCTTTACCTCCTTCTCCTTTTCCTTCTCTTCTGTTCTCTGCTCCTTTCTTCTTCAGTCATACTTTTAATTTAAAAATTTTGGATTTGAAATTCACGATTCTATCAATTATTCGAAATTATTTCGGTCTAATTTTTTTGTTATGTTCATCTATCAACTTTTTAAAAAAAGCCACATGATTGGCAATTTTTGGAGACACATTGGCAATTTTTGGAGATGACAGTATTATATGTTTGAAATTTCCATGATTTTGACATTTTTGGCAAATGATGACATTTTTGCATCTAAAAATGTCATGTTGTAATCTCAAAAATGACATGTTTTTACATCTAAAAATGTCATGTTGTAATCTCAAAACTGGCATGTTTTTGCATCTAAAAATGTCATATTTTTGCCTTTGATGTTAACATGTCATTTTCGAGTAAAGTGACAAACAGGTCAAAACTGTCATCATAACAAATGCAATGTCATGAAATTGTCATTATTTTTAAATGATGGCATTTTCGAAATAAAATGTCTAAAATAATCTGAAATTCAAAACAAGTAGAAGAAGTTTTAATCGAAAATAGAGGAGTGCAAGGAGAACTGCGAGGAGAAGAAAACAGAGGGGGGAGGGGAAGAAGAAGAAAAAGAAAAAGAAGAAAAGAAGAGGAAGAGGAAGTAGGAGGAGAAGATGAAGAATACCTGATTTTGCCGGAGAGAAGAGGTGGTGGTCGGTGTTGAGCAGGTGGTTGCGATGATGGCGGTTGAGTTGCGATCGAAATCGGTCAAGCTGCTACATGGCAGCTGCGCCGGAACGGGAGGGCTGAATCGCAGGTGTAGGATCGATGGCAGAGGGATTGGGGAAAGGTGATTTTGGGATCAGGGGTAAAAATGTAATCTGGAGTCCTATTTAAGCAATTTAAAACTTAAAATCCTAATTTGGAGTTTAGCCATGTTTTAGTCCCATTTAGGATAATTCCTTTAACTTTTAACATCGCAAAACGTACATCTTTAAATGGAGATTTACCTATTAAAATAGATTAAAATAGGTAGATTCTATGCTACCCATAACGTATCATACCTTTATCCACATTAATAAATGAAAATGTAGTAGTTGAATTATTTAAATCTAAATTAAAAATGATAAAGTGATGTGGTCCAATCAAATGAATGATAGGTACGGTACCCCATTTTTTAGAAAGGTACCGGAGTTGACGCCATTAAAATATACGGAGTATGGAGTACTCTGTACTCCTGTTATCTTCTCCATTTATGTGTCATATTTTGATTTACCATAATTACTCCATATTAAATAATAGTCCCTCTGTTTCATTGAAATTGTCTTATTTTACCAATTCAATATCAACCATATAAATCACTTTTTATTAATTTGCGTGTTACTCGTTCTTGTTCCATTCTTAGTGGGACGGTGGAAGTAGTAAAAGTTTGAAAAGAAATGGAAACAAAACATAGTCAAAAATCGCAAATAAGAGTACAAGTTTGAAAATTTCCAAAATAGGACACTGTATTTATACGCTTTTTTTACACCAAACATGTAGGTATTTTTTAAATTTGATGTTGATCGGGACCTAGGTTGGCCCCTCTACCTATGCCCCTGAACCCTACCCACTTCCGCCACCAGCCACCATCGAACTCCGGCCATCGGAACTCCGCTAGCCGCTGCCTAGATTCTAACCACCGTTCGCTAGTCGTCGTCGCCGGAGCTCTGACTAGATGATATAGAAACAAATCTTTGCAATTAAGGTTGGAATTAATTTCACTTTTGGTCTTACGAGTTTCATGTCTTTTTTACGAGTTTTATGTCAATTTCACATTTAATACGCGTCTTTCACTTTGACCACTTTTGGTACTTGGCTGTTGTTTTTTGACACTTTCGATGCATCTCTGCGGTTTTAACCACCCGAAAAAGGACCATATATGGGCGAAAAACAATAGTCATGTACCAAAAGTAGTTAAACTCAAAGACCTTGGTCAATTGTGGAATTGATGTGATACTCGTATGACAAAGTGAAATTTATTCACGAAGGTTGTGTAAAACGTGAATTTTGTCAAGTATTTTTATACATGCTTTTATAAGGATAATGGGTCTTGTTGTTGTCTTTTCTCCATGACAAAAGGGATTGGATAAAAGAATTCATAATAAAGATGGTGGTCGTGTTGAGTCAGCTACTCACCGACTCACTCTCCTTTATGGAGGGAGCCGAGTTCAATACTCAATTTAGTTAATTTAATTTCAATTTACCCCAAGCCCCCCAACTCTCCCAACCCCCCTTGAGTAAAAAAATGTCTAGTTTCAAAATAAGGTTGTTATAAGACAACGTTAGAAAAAACTAAGCTATTTTGGGAGTTATTGTACGAGAGGGGCCAGGGAAAATTACAAATATATGACATTGAACTTGAAAAGAATCGGTGTATCTCAATGATGGAGTATATGGACCAGGGACCTCCAGCCCACATACTCCTATTACTCTAACACGGGCCCAACAGACCCAAGAAGCATAGGGGGCCCAAAGAACAGCGGCTCAAATATCAAGAAGCCCGCGGTGCACATACGGGTGCCTTCGGTCCCATGGCTGAAGGCCGCAAAAACTCACAAGACAACTAATTCTACGCATGCAAACCTACTGGGAGAAAACAGTGGAAGTCAGGAGCCTTCGGCTCCACAGAGCCCCCGACCACAGGAGAGTCCTCGGCTACAGCACAAACATCGAAGATTCCCTTTGGAGACAAGAAACAGCTGCATTTAATGCGGTGTCACATCCGCCCACCGCATTTAATGCGGTGCACATGCGTATGTCGGTGTCATCCCAGTTGAGGTGACCCCTCGACCGTTAGATTATTGACATGTGTACTCCCATCGTATTTATTACTACTATAAATAGCAGCCCATTCTCCATTGTAAAGCATAACAATATTCCACATTCGAATACACTTTCTCTCTCTTACTTATTGCCCTGACTTCTCTCTAGGTTATTCCCACAATAACCCCTCGGATAAGATACCTCTCGAGTACTTTATCCATCATTTGGTGCTCTCATTGAGAGGTCGAACAATCAAGTAAGAAACTCTCCCCTTCACCGGACTCAAAACATCTACCAAAATGGGAAGAACCACTCGTGCCCAGTCAAAGGCCCTTGAGGACAACAACCTGGCCCTCGGCGAAGTCGACGCCCCCGGAGCCTCCAACAAGGCTCCCGAGGGCGGAGTCATCGCTGGGCTGGAATAGGTTGCTGTTGACCTGCGCCTTCAGCTCCAGCAAAATGCTCCTGATGCCCGCCTTGGCATCGAAACGCGAAGGAGGGACCGGAGCGAAAATCAAGTGAGTCCTCTGGTCCTCACTATTGACGTACAATCGGCATTTTCTGCCTTCATCCAGACACTCACCCAGAATCCAGGGGCCTTCGGCACTCTGGTGCCACTTCAGCCACAGGTCGGGGAGAACATTGTTCCTCCTCCACCTCCGCCCCCTTTGTGAACCCTATCCTTCGGCTAGGGAACAACGAAGGGGTCATGGCCCAAGATACCGCATCCCAAGAGGTCCAATCCCGGGACCAGCGTGGTGCGAACAAAGAGAGGCCTCGGATCTCCGACCTCGAGAGGCTCGGAGGGGTGCAGGATCACCGAGGGGTCCAAGACCGGCTCGGTGGTAAGGCACTCCAAAGACCTCAAGAAAGCGGGGGGGTCTTTATCGAGGGAAGACGAGAGGCGTCCCCCTCAGGACAAAGGAAGGGCACCACTACATGCCGATGACGCCAGACACCAAATCAACCAGGCTCACTCAGCCCGCGTGCAATCTGTGGGGGCAGAGCCATTGCCGAAGGACCCCAGGGATGACATCATTGAGGCCCTACAACGCCGCCTTGATGAAATGGAGGCCAGCCAAGCACACATGACCGTTTCTGCCTCACAAGCGGACCCCAAATACGCCACCATGTTGGCCAAGATGGAGGAGATGCAAAAAAGATTTGCCGAATACTTCGGGGAACCCATCATCCAACTCCAGACAAGGACGCCATTTACCCTAAGTATATTGGTGGCCCAGATTCCAGGAAAATATCGAGGGCAACCCATCAAGCCCTACGAAGGAAAGACTGACCCTCAGGAGCACTACAATAGGTACCATAACAACATGATGGTGGTGGGGGCATCGGATGAATATTTATGCCGTTGGTTCCTTTCTACCTTAGAAGGACCAGCGTATGAATGGTTCAACCGATTGCCCGAGGGGAGTATCGACTCATGGCCAGAACTCGTCAAACGCTTTTTAACACAATTTGTGGGAAGACGCCGGTCAAGGAAACACTTCTCCCACTTACTAACGGTGAGGCAACGGAAGGATGAAACCCTCTGGGGCTTCTTGGAACGCTGGAGGCTAGAGACAGATAAGATTGACGGCACCGATGACGGAACCCTTCTGGCTCTCCTACAGACGGTCCTCCGCACCGGGAACTTTTCAAGGAGCCTCATCATTGACCCCCCTCGCAACTATATAAAGGCCCTCCAGCGGGGAGACCGATACGCGGAGGCCGAGGAGGTGGAGAAATGCCACCAAAACCCCGAACCGCCACGCCCTAGGGCAGACCATAAGAATCACCGGGGGCCGGGGGCGTTCCACCAGTCCAAAGG